CCCCCCCCAACCACCACCACGCTATCCCGCTACTTGGAGACGACAAAAGTCTGGCGCGCGAAAGTTGTGCGACCGCCAAGGGTCCACCGGGGGATTGGGGATCGTCTCCCGCGCGATGGCGTCGGGGCGGGGCGGGGCGGGGCGTGGTAGGGCTCCTCGCCGCCCCGTTCCTGTTCCCCTTTAACTCTTTGACGGCCGCGCTCTCCGCTCCGCTCTCCGCTCCGCTCTCCGCTCTCCGTCGCCCCACACCCACTCTTGTCATCAATCGGAATCCTATTAGAGCGCCTGCCCTCACGTCTGCCCCACACTTTGGCCGCCCGCGCCGCCGCCCCGCCTGCTCGCCTCGCCAGGACAAGCGGGGGGTGGGGTGGGGGGGGGGACAGGACGCCGCCGCTGCGCTGACGTCGAGGGACGATTCAAAAGTTATGTGACTATGATTTTTGTCTCGCGAAGGGCCCGCGGAGTGAGTTGATGAGGTCCTCCCAGTGTGCCCTGCGCCGGGAAGGGACTCCAGCAGCACTTCTCGATCGGGAATGGTTCTCGCCCTGGTTGTAGCTCTGTTTCGGGCGCGCGGAAAGGGAGAGAGGAGCGCGATCCCCCGTCGCGAGGAGGAGAGTGAGAGAATGCTCGGGCTGCCATGATTAATCGACGGAATCTGAATGTGAATAATGGGCCTCTATATAGTCGGTATTAATTAGCAGCCGACTAATTAGGGACAAAAACTTATCGCAGCGAAGCGGTTATCGAGACTATCGGGAGCCTATAGCTTTGGCAGCCACAGGGGGGTGATCGCAGAGCTCCCGGCTTTTGAATACCGGGCCCAATCACAGATGCAGTCCGAAAATGTTAAGCGTGTTGTATACACAAGGCTAAAGGGGAAACATTTTGTACCCTAAGGGTAGATCTTCAGAGTAAACAATCCCCTTTTCACTGTTGAAAATTAGATCGTAATTTGACGACAAATGTCATCATAATTTTTGTGCGCAAACTCCCCGTTATTTTAAAGTAAAAAATACATTCGTAAGATGACGAACTCGGTTGTTGGTTGTTCTACTGAAAGAATGATCCCGGATACAATAATTTTTGAAACAAACATGCAATATCCTGAAAAAGTTGACACCATTTAATCGTGATGTTTAGAACTGTCTTTTTCAGTTTACTGCGAGGCGTAAGTTACTGGCACTGGTGCCTGGATGATGCATTGGAAATTTTCAAGGACTTTTTATAGGAAGTCTTTATCTACTTAGACAAACGTTCAGTAAATTCACAGTGCATAGCCTCCGTTGCTCGTTGTTCCACGCCGAGCAGAGAGATGTGCTGACGAGACGGGTCAGAGAGAGAGAGAGAGAGAGAGAGAGACGTGTTCGAAGTAATCGTGATGCCAGCAGGGACCACCTGAGTGTTAAGGGGGTGCCCCTCGTCCCCTCTCTGTACAGGGCACGTCCCCAGCGCCCACTGAGCACGCGCGCCCC